TATAACTCTGGATTTACTAGCCTATAATTAAAATTTAAAAACCGGTGTATACTTTGAAGTCCGGCTGAGTCTTTCAGCACGGGCTATAAGACTCAGCGTGGCAGCTTGTTGCTATGTCAGCTTAAATCAGTCATGTGATTTGGGGGTGCAGCGAGTCCGTGGAACCCAGAGGAGTAATAATACTCACCCTTATTCCGTTTCCAGAGTGCATCAACCAACCACCTGTGTGAAATCTGAATTCACAATTCACAATCATAACCATCACTTGCTACTGAAAACAAGAAAAAAGCGAGTCTGCGCTATGGGCTGAACCATTTGTTATTTGTGGAGGGAGGTAACACTATGCAATATATTCAGTTTTAGCATTTATATTCACTGTTAACTGTAACTACGCTCAAAGTGTTAATGGTATCTTATTTTAATAAACAACACTGTCATATGCAAACCTAGGGTGGCACTTCGGGTGGCAAGAGATCATTTTAGGGTAGCACCTACCACCCCATGCCACCCTTCTAGAGCTGCCCCTGAATGAAACATTATAAGTCATCAGCCTAATGCTTAGGCATCAGTTGTTCCTCTTCATTATCCACAGAAGAAATACTTGAATATCTGTGCTTTCTAGAGTGACCTAACTCTGCAATGGGTGGTCTTGGAGGCAGAGGAACATCACAAGGAGACATGAAAAAGGCCACTTCATTTTTTTCACTCATTTTGTTATTCGCTGCCCAAGCAATCATTGCAGCAAAGCAGTAACAAGAGTCTCTACTCTGGGAATATTCCAACCAAGGGTGTATTTTGTACCATTCTGGTAGATTCAGATAGACATCTTACCATGGGGATCGCTTTGAATAAACACAGAGAACTCAGGCTGTCTCTCCTTCCCTCTGCTGTCTGACCCCATCACCTTCTCTGCTTTGGACCATATTTCTTCTTCCTCTGCTGCTGCTTGCCCTGGTTCAGCTTCTTGCCCTGGCCCAGCTTCTTGCCCTGGCCCAGCTTCTAGCCCTTTGTCTCCCTGATCTCTCCTCTTTGTGTGGAAGAAACTAGTGATGTCACCCTTTCTCTTCATACCTCTCAGTAGTGTCTGAAATTATGCAAATGCAGATTTAATACGAAGGCCCTTTCGAATATTTAATGCATTAAAATTATTTTTCAGACTCGCCTCCTAACGCAGGCGTTCCGCCCCGACCGTGTTATTTCACTGGACGAATTTGTGCATATAATTCAAACCGATTTTTCAGATGTTTCGGATCCGAATATACAAATCAGACTAATCAGATCAATGCATTTGGCAACAATGCATTAGGAAGCCGTGATACAGCTTCAACACCAGGATCAAACGATAATATTATCCCTGCTTTTGTCTTCTCTGAGAAACGGATGAACCACAATCTTCATTTCCCACTTTTCTCGTTTACGAACATCAGCACCAGCTCGTCAAGGCTTCATATCAACTTCATTTTTCTATTTTTTTAGACAGTTATATGAGGATAAATTATCTGCAAAAGCGCAACACGTTCGATGTGCATATATAGGTTATACATCAACTTTTCATGATCTATCTTTTTATTTTTCGTTTTTGTCTACATTATATTGAAATGTTTCATTATTGGAAACATTTTAAGATATACTTATTATTCTTAACATCTTAACAGATACTCTAACCCGCAAGTATCGTAAAACGCTACGACCGGAAGTGGACACCTTTCGCGCATGTAGGGTACCGATCGGGTTTCCGGTACGGATCAGGTAGCGACAAGGACCAATGACTGTAGAAAACATGGACGACGTGACAGCGCCTCCTCCCATTGTGCAAAAATGAAGTCAAAATAGGGCTTCAGAGCGTGATGTCACGGGGGTGGGCGTGGAAAGGATTTTGGCCTGATGCGCCATTTTCGGGGTCAAAACAAAGCGCAAAAAGGAGCGAAGGCACACACAACAGCCATGGTTCGTATTTGCTGTGTGGTCGGCTGCAATGTTCAATCGCACGACCGGCAAGAGAATAAGCTTGAAATGGTTTATCTTTTCATTCTTTCCCAACCTGGAAGCAACATGAGGCAGCTCCTGTATCAGATGTTACCAATCGAAGGCGTCTAGCCTGGATAGCAGTTGTGAGACGAGCTGATATCCAGTTCTCTACCATTCCCAGATATCTGTTGGTGCTCCAGACATTTTCATTACGGTAAGTTCTAAATATGTTCGTATCACTCTTTATAGCCTATTAGTTTTATTTCCGATGCACTCTGAGGTCATAGCTAATTAGAACAAACATCCTACTGAGTGATTTTGCAGAACTACCTTCTATTTATAGAGTTGCTAATTATTTGGCATTATTGCAGCAAACCAGCTGGATGGATAAAACATCGTGACTGGGTTCCAGTGCTACACAAGGGACCTGCTTCAAACATACCACCATGCCAATCAGATTACTTCTTCCATGTGAGGGTGAAGGGGTGACCCTTCTGGATAAGATGGTGAAGGTTTGCTGCGTTTGGTGAACAGTGTGATAATAAAACCAGGGGAGAATGAAACCTGCTCCTGTTAAATATTCTTAAGTCTTTTGCTGTATAAATAGCGGTATTTTTTAAAAGATACAGTAAATAAAGTAGTGTTAGTAGTGGCTGATATCATGTAAACACTGTCATGATTTGGTGTAAACATTTTGTCATTTGTAAACTATAAATGACATGGATTCTACACTGTTACTGATGTGATGTTCTAAAAAGTGGTTTAAAAAAAAAAGGTAAAAATTAGTTTGTTTCTTTATTCAATTTTTAAACAGTGGTACTCAGTCAGTACATATTCAGTAAATGCAAATTATTTACACGGCAGTGCACTACAGGCATAAATCTAGACCCCTAGATAAAACATTATGGCATTATAGCAGTGACAACTCCTCCACAGTAGCAGGTGGGATTTTTCTTTTTTGAGGACGGCTCCTTTTCCCTTTCATTACGGATGGTCTGTTTATGTTTTGATCAAGAGCCTTTTTTTGGGCAGCTGAAGAGGAGAAGTCTATCTTATGGCCAACCTCTGGCTGTATCTTGGTCATATTACCCAGCAAAACCCAGTGTGCAGGTTCATCTGTAACACTCCTTGTGCCACAGATCCGCACTGTTGCTTCTACATTAAACAGAAGAGCAGTGACGTGGGTGCAGGTCTCTCCGACTCCGGCCTTACAGGTGCAGTGGGCGGCTTCAACCTTCCCTGTGATGCTCACAGTGACCCATGGCTGCAATGCTGGTTCATTCAGTCTTAGAGTGCAGTACCTGAAACACACACAAAGTTCATTTAAAGACAAGAACTATGAGCCAAGGCCGACACAAATGTTCATTATCTACTTTATCATAAATGTAGATAAGTGTTTAGAAAGTTAGCACATACATGTAATTTTTCATTTTTTTATGTGTCCATCTATAGAACGCTGCATGTTATAGTGTAAATCTGCCTGTTCTCTCTCAGAAACCTGCCTGCAGAAAATGAACCTAAAGTATGTAATGCAAGGATGTAATCACTTTCAAGATGGAGAAAGCATAAAGTGACAATTATGAATCACTTAATATGATAAGGAGATTCTGCAGGTCATTAATCAATGTATAAAACTAAAAAACAAAATGTATTTTTAGTGACACAAGATACAAATATGGAAGCAAGATGTATAATTAGAATTATTTATAATAAATATGAATAAATTATTGCAATTTCTTTAACCATAAAGAATAACTAAATCCTTCAGGACAATGTCACATCAATGCACTGAACTCACTATGTTATCCCTCTAACAGCCTCCACATGTTCTCACTGTAATTTCTCCCTCATGAATGAATTTATGCTGCACTAATCTGAATGTTTGCAGGGAAATCAAACGCATTTCACACGCAGTACTCGAGCTGACTTACCTTTGTTTGAATGATGACTTGTACGCGCTGACTCCACAGACAAGGTACGAAAATATGTCAGGCTACGTCAATAGCGGTTGGTCTTCAGGGTTTCTACTCCACGGCCGTATTTCATTTCCAATGCACGCTATTTTCTGTAAGTACCGCTGTTTCGCCTCTGAACGCAATCGGTCTCTATACAGTCCATTCTCTTTTGAGCTGCTTTTATTAATTATCTTTCTTGTAGTCATCGTTCCAACACAGTGTGTTCGTTTTGATTTGTAGACCCCGAAAATGGCGCCGCGCTCCCACAATGCATTGCGGCATGACGTCAACTCCATTTAAGAAACAACAGGAAGACTGAAGCTCATGGCATTGATCAAGCAGGACTCATGATCTTGACCAGCAGCTCCCTCACAGGGAAATCTTCAGACCTCCACCGTAGGCCTGCCCCAGAAGATGGATAAACCCAGCATTTCATGAACACTGTGATGGAGACCTTTGGTTTGTGTAATGTTATAAATACTCGGATACTCCCCAGAGGCTC